GGGCTGAATTGCACAAAACGCATGATCGCACCGGCTAGTCTGGTGCGCGTTGCCATTTATTTTATACTGGTGCCTAACAAAGTCAAATTTCTCACTAATTCCCGCATGCGTTCCTTTAAAAGTTCTAAAAATGTGATAGTCAGATCGTTTTGCTAATAGTGCGAGCCAAAAACTAGGTACCACTTCACTAGTTACCACACCAGGCGGTTTTCAGCTTGTGGGTATGGCTTGTTTTTATTTGCTTAAATAACAAAATACTTCTTGTTTTTCTGCTTTATGTTGCTGAAAGCGCAATTTAGTTTACATTTCATATTATTCCAGTTAATTCATCATTTTTTTTTCAATTTTCATGTGGTAGGGAGGAAAAATTGTTTCTCAAAGGCGGACAAACTGTTTTACCGCAAAATACAAACTTGTACATTTTCTGACCTGGTTTTTATGAGTTAATTATTTGCCTTTTTATTTCATTTACTTGTATCACCGCCCCTTAAAACTGTTCCAGTAGTTAAAAAGCCTTTGTTTATTCAAATGAACACCTTTACAATGATCCGATTTTTGCAGTTCTTAGTATTCAGGTAAGATTTGAAAAGAATTAGAAAAGAACTGAGAATAAGTGTTGGAGATTTCTTTTAAGGCCAAACATTGTAAAATTTGAATGATACCACAGAGATCATTTAAATGTTAGAAAAAAATTTTTTTTTTTAGTTTGGAAATTATTTTTTTTTGCCATATTCTTGAGAGGTTTTCAGACCTGTAGCTTTAGGTTGGTCGGAACTTGTGGGATCTGAGAATTGAGCGCCCCCAACAACGATTCACATTAAACACGTCACTGAAAATTGCGGAACAATGCCTTGAATCAATTGAGCATTTGCACACGGTTGGATTCCTGCACAGAGACATAAAACCAGGCAATTTCGCGATTGGGCGACCGGAAGCAAACGAACATCACACTGTTTTCATGCTCGATTTTGGACTGTGCAGGCAGTTCAGGTACTATCAAATTTATGATGGTTTTTCATCCAGCCTCCGCTCTAAGTGCTAGTGAAAGGCACAAGACCACTTGGTACTGAACACAGGAACAAAATGCTTGCAGACTGGTACTGGTACGTTGTCAAGAAGGGGGAACTGCAATTAGTTTGATTCTAATCAGTACACAAGTGAATTTGATACTATGAGTACCATTTTTTGTCGGGAAGGCTTGAGCCTGAATACTATTAGCAGTGCAGTATCACTCAAACTGCTTTCGTATGCTTTCATCTTTCAAAAGAGTCAATTGTGGCGATAATTTTCGACTCTGACTTTTACGGATTTTTTTTTACTGATTGCGGTGAACATACCTAGAATACCAAGACTGCTCGGACAGTCGATGCACAGAACCGCTACCAATGATTCTGCTGGAATACTTACACGCAAAGTGTAGAGCTATGCCAGGCCCTTCGGCCTCGAACTGCATCCGCAGTCATTACCCACCACGAAATGAAATTTTGCTTTATTTGCTTTAAAATATAGATGAATTTTGCAGAAATAAAAAGAATTTGCTTCTTTCTTATATTTTAAGGATTTTGATGTTTCCTGATAATTTCAGTTCGGGGAGCAAAGATTTACGACTACCACGTGCTTCAGCCCCATTCCGTGGTACCACTCGTTATGCATCAATTGCGGCGTTGCGACAAATGGAACAGTCTCGAAAAGACGATGTCGAATCATGGTTGTACATCACCGTCGAGTGGACTGCTGGCTCTTTGCCCTGGAGAAAGCTGAAGGTTGACTGTACACAGATTCACGCAAATACTAGTTTTCTGTAAATCTGGTACTTGGTAACTTCAGATAACTTCAAAAGCTTGTAGATATGCACTTAAGTAATAGCACGACTTGTTTCTTCTTTTTTCCTTGAAAACGTACATTCGCTTAATATTTTAGGACTAAACTAAAGTTGCTTCATGTGAGCTGCAACCTGTAGGTTTCATGCAACTAGCAATTTTTTTTCAGTTGCTTTAACCGTAGTGCTGCACCGCTAAGTGTTTGGCTTGCTGGCGGTTCTGATGTTCGTTTCGTCTCCCGTAGAAATTATTAGATGAAAGGATTCCTCAACAAAAATTTGTCTGATTTGTTGAACCCATTCAAACCTGTTGCAAAAATTCACCTTGCTAGATGGGAAGGCTCGGGTTGACGCAATAGTAGCGCTTACCAATAGCAACTGACCCTTGCTAGGGCTTTCGATGTTTTTCTTTTTGGAAAGTAGAAGAAGCCGAACGCTGGTTTTTTTTTTCCTTGCACACGCTAACTTACCAGCGAATCGAGTGAAAAAATGATAAAGGATATGTACAGCACTGTTTTGATCTGGTCAGTGATTTGAGTCCGAAAATAACGGTAGCCACCGTTAATGAGAATCGCTTGAGTAACGCGGTGCAAATTGATTTAAGCTTTTAGCTACTAACTTTCACACGGTCTTCATTCAGAATCTGTGAAATTTTTATAAGTTGTAGTTTCCTGGTTCTTCACAGCGAACATCTTCTAGGGGCCCGATAAAGAGGAGGTGTTACAGTGGAAAGAAGAGGTGCGCGAGGGCGAAGCGATGGATGATTTCTTTAAAGATTGCCCGAAACGAGAATTTTCAACAATAATGAAGTATATCGATTCGCTAGAGTACGAAAGCATCCCGGATTATGATCATATCTACTACTGTATACAACACGCTGCCAAGGTAAATCTTGTCGGTGTTGCATGAGGAACCCAACGAAGCGTCATGAAGTAGAGGTGCTTCTTTTCTTTTTTATAGCTCGTCTCCAGTTTTGACTCTCTAAAAAAGCTTGGTACGCTCTTATTGCTAATGAATTATTAGGCGCATCATATAGCACCGGACGATCCGCTTGATTGGGATCCAGCACATAAGTACCATGGGCCAATGATAAATCTCAACGAACGTCGAAACAGGAAAGACGATAGGCACCTGGTCACCGCACGAACACAACGTTCCACTTGATTTTTCGCCTACCGGTTCACGATTAAAACTATCCATTATTGAACATTTATCACACGATAAACAATGCAATACATTGTCAGTTGTGACGAGAATCAAGCGTGGAAATGAATCAGTTGCTTCTCTTGAGCTTCAGAATAGTCTGACCGGCGAAGCTCCCGGTTTCAAATCCATGATCCTCTATATGGTGAGTGTTAACGGGTAAAAATTTTTGAAAACATTAAATTTAGCGAATACCAATGATGCAAGAAGGTAACTTCCGTGGATACCCCGATGAACCAGTGAGTACCACAGAGAAATATGTGACTGGGACATATACAAAGCGGCTCGAACTATCCGTGCGGGCATACTTTGTAAGTGATGTTATTAGGATGCTCCAAAATGCCAAGCGCAGCTATGCCAGGCCTTTCGATCGACTCTGTCATGTTGAGTAATTCTAATGTAACATCTATAGGATGCGCGATATCATCTATCTGTTGCTGCTGACTAAGCGGATAATTCAGGATTAGCGGATATTTCATGACCAATCCAGTGATCAGGCTGTACCTTTCTAACTATTCACAGAAATGGATTGTCACTTTAGCGCAAAGAATTTAATCGTCGGTTTTACTCATGCGCATTAAGAAGTTACGTAGACGACGCAAGACGACGTAGAATATCTGGAACTCTAACACGCCCAGGTTACGCTTTATTGGCACCACAGCCTCCCCTACTCCAGCTTATGCGAAGTACATGATATC